TAGAGAGAAATCTGCTGTAGGAGGTTGCACAGGGTGATAGCAGTCCAATTTAGAAGTCTCAATTATTTATTTTTAAAATACTTGGCATCTGTCTATGGAAAATGTGCTTGCTTGGTTTCCAGTCTCTTAGAATTGCTTTGAACTCGCTTACATCTTCTGGGATCTATCAAATGCTCATTGTGGCTTTTCTCTCATAAGCACTGAATGAGTTTAGCCATGATAGTCTGTACTGGATGTAAACTTTTTGTCTTTGTAGTGGGGTAATAAGAGCAAAAAGATGTCGTGCACAGGAATGGTGATTTCTGTCTGAGTGTCTGTCTTGCCAAGCAGAGGAGGAGCATCCAAGCACAGAGCTGGAGCCTTTTATTTGTGCCAGGGAGAAGTCATTCATTTGAATCAGGCTCAGTTTTTGCAAGCCAGTGACATTTCATAAAGAGGGTTTAGTCACTCAGAGGCAATTGTACTTAATAAAATCAGAGCTGATCTCTGGTGGGCAGTATTTCTCAGTGTTACACACGCACATTTTGGACAGCCTGCCCTTACAAGATGAGCGTTGTGGCAGCCCCATTTTCAGTCGAACTCTCTTAAGCACAGAGCAGGGCCTGACATTTTCCCAGCTCTGGAGAACACCAGATTTCTGTAGAAACGGGAAAAATGCGGTTTAAGAAAGGTGTTTCTGCAGACAGTAGGGTGACCCCAAGGAAGAGGGGACTGCCTGCCCCGTGGCAGGATGGAGGAGTGGTGTAGCTGGTAGGAGCACGGAGGCAAAGATGCTCCAGGCTTGGGAATTACTCAGTGTTGGATGCGTGTGGTTGTCAGCTGGAAAAAGGCCTGGAGTGCTTGGAAACTGCAGTGGTTGGGCACTGGATCTTCCTGGATGGAGGAGACTGGAAAACATGACATGGTTTTATAGGGTGACTGGCAATTGTCTCCTGGGTTATGGCAGAGTGAGGGTTTTCTCTCTAATCCTCTGCATTTGTAACATTCTGGAGATTTTCCTCTTCAGTCCGATTTTTTCAGGCTTAATCTGTGCTTTGCAGCAAATCTCTCTCAAGTTTGAGTGAAAACAATTCAACTCTTTTAGAGTGTGAAGAGTGTCAAAGCATAAAGTTTTTCCATTACGAGCAAACTCTTGCCCTCTCCCTGCCTTGGTAAAGCTCTGTAGCTGCAGGAGTTGTTGGTACCATTAGAGGATGGAGAGTTTTCCCACAAGAAAGTGCCTTTGTGTCACTAGGGATGGTTTGTTTCAGCTTAGCCATATCAAAATACTAAAAATTTCAAGTCGCTTGGACACTACATGTTTTTTTGTAATGGCTCTTTACAAGGTAGATGTGAGAGTATTGCTGTGGTGCACAGCTGAGATTAAGGAAGTCCATGCGAGCCTTTCCCAGTCTTGTTAGCTGTAACGGAGCTAGATGTGAAAGACTTACAAATGGAGTGTATTGTGCTGTAGAGAACAGGAGTGCGATGCCCTCTGGGACCTGTGCCGCCGGGAAGGTATCTGGGGCACTCTCAGCAGGGATGTGTGGAACAGAGCTTTCTGACTGCAGTTGGTATCACACTGTAGAATCTACAAAGGGTATTTCAGGCTTTCCCATTGCTAAGAGATTCAGAGCCTTTAAAAAAATGGAAAATAGAAGCTATTGTGAAATCGCATTCAAGAATATGCAAAAAAATGAAGGTTTATGGTGCTGAAGTCAGGCAGCGCCACAATTCAGGTTGGACGAGCAAGCTTGGCTGATGCTCTGCTTTGCGTTTCACAACTAACGTATAATCAGATCCACATTTTCTTTAGCTTAAATGCCCCTTTGTTGCATTCTGTACTATTGCTTTGTATGTGCCAGGCAGAGACAGGAGGAGTCATTTACATGCAAAATGCACCACATATTCTATATACTAATTATATAATAAGAAGCAATAATGAAAATTTTCTGGCATGTTTAGGCCACTTAAGTATGCGGTGAAATTAATTTTATAGTTAACTGTCTTAATCCTGATTTGTACATAAAGAACATTATGCCATCCAGAGAAAATATTAAATTAAGTATCTACTGATAAATGCATTCAGGGTTATGTATGTTATCTGTGAAAGAACAAAAATACATTGGTTAGATTTACATTTTATTGTAAATTGGAGTAAAACAGATGAGACTGTTATTATGGAAGAGAACAATATGCGATCACGCAATTAGAAAACTGTCAAAATACAAATGCTCAGCGGTGTCCAGGTGTGGTTTTCTGAACAGCCTGAACCACGCAGCTTTGAGGGTGTAACTTTACCATCTTCTTAACATGGTTTTTGCAGTCTGTGTGTAAATTAGATAATAGCAATTCCCGGGAGATCCTACTTCCAAAATGTTCCTTCTAGCTGTATGAGCACATAAGGAAGGAAAGAAGCTACTGTATGACGGATGACGATAATTTCTCATACAAGACAGTTCCCCTTGACTTGATGGATGCAGAGAGAGGAACCGCGCTCTCTGGAAAAGCACCGGGGAGCGTTGCAGTGTGTATGGTAATCACGGCAGAGCGTGGTTCTTGATTAGTTTGTGAAATTGCACTGCTGAGACGAGGGATCTGAATTAAGCACTTCTTTACCAAAGCCCTTTGCACCGCTATCCAAAAGTGTATTGTAAAAATTAATTTCCTTAAAATGCTGTGAGCAAAATTGATCCAAAATGATTTTGGCATATGCTGAACTCACTCAGTGATACTTTTCTTCATAAACTCCTATGAGGACTATCTAGTGAAGTGTTTTATGTAAGGTATACCTAATTTTAGACTGTATTTTAAAAGGGTGTAAAATGTAATTTGTCAGTGTTTTGTGAACTTTTTGTCTGTACCAGCTAAATTGAAGTTTAGGCAATTTTACCTGAAACAAACTGTTTCTAATTTTTACATCAATGAATGGCTGTACCTCGGTCTACATTTGTTCAAAGCATGAGCTGTCGGGACCTGGAGGCACCACCAACTTTGTGAGCTATTGCCAGCATCTCTGTGTGTGCTGTGAATACACTGGGAATAGGAAGGCCAAAACAGGGGAAGAAAATTGCTTTCAAATTTTATGAAGCTGGAGTGAGTACTAGACAATTTTTTCATTTTTTGTGAGCCGTTTGGAGTGTGGTGTCATTTTATCCTCCGGCTGAAAGAAGTATGTCTGCCTCTGAAGAGGGTGATCTTCATCTTGGCCTTTTCTCTATATGGTGGTGTTTTATGAGATGTATAGGTACTTTGCCAGTATTATACATTACAGCCAATATATACAGTCAGAAGCCTGGGAATCAGTAAATATGAGTAGGACCATATCAGAGCAAGATAAAAAGGTATCACCTCATCTGGCAATATACAGAAATTCAGAAGATGGGAAAATACTTGCATTTGTGAATGCAGTAGGATTTGTCATGCAGGGAAAGTCCCAGACAGCCCCAAACAAGTTATTGGTGCCAGCAGAGCATCCACCTGCAGACGGACTTGCAAGAGGGAGCAATCGTCAGTGTGTTGGGAGGCACGGAAAGGCTTAGTTAGACCTTACGTCTCCATTTAACTGTGTATTGTGTGGCTGTTTCTTATCGCCCAGTAATGCTGTGAAAAGCCTGAATAGGTCAGATAAGGGGTGATGGGCTGCAGAGAAGCAGGAGCGGATGCGCAGGTTGAGGCAAGAGGCCGGTGACAGAGACGCCTGATGGGTCCCTTCCTGGTTCAGGGCTAGGAATGGTTTTTTTTTGCTGGTGTCAATGTGCACAAGCGAGCGTACGTGTTGGCCAACTGTCCTGCAGTAATGGGTGTACCAGTGCTGGTTGGGATGGCAAAATCCGTTGGAGAGGATCCCTGAATGGCCCCAGGAGCAACCTCTGCAAAGTCCAGTTCTTGTGCTTGGCTGTTACCATCAGGCATGTGTTTTTGATCGGTAACACGTAGAGCACACATGCAACAAACGGTACCAAGACTGGATTCATTCAAATGTACACACCTGCATGGTGTGATGTTGAGAAGGGAGCGTTGCATGTTTTAGACGAAAACCAGATCCCTTGGAGTAAACGATGGCTGGTGCAGATGGACTGACACTAGGGGCTCCTTTGGGACTGGCGAGGTTAACGACTGCTGCAAGAGCAGTGGTGCATTAGGATGCTGGCAGAAGTGGGAGCTCAGCCAGCGTGGGAAATGGAACAAGAACCATACAGGAAATGAGGAGCAGTAGCGCCCTCAGGCCTCTGTGAGTTGCCCTTATTCAGGGTGTATGTGTGTAGTAAAGTGGGATTGCTCAACAGCAAGGTGTTTGAAGGGAGCTGTGTCTTAGTCCTCCTATATTTGTGCATCTCAGACATTTGCTGTTTTGAGGTAAGCCATTTCCTCATCTGCTTTCACTTTGCCTAATTATTAATATTTATTATTCATCCTAAAATGGCATCGAAATATCTGGTCTTGTCTCTCTCGTACTTCTTGCCGAGTGCTGACGCCTTGGAAATAAAAGTCATGAGATGTAACTGAAGTCAGGGAGAAGTCTGACCCTAACTGATAGTCCTGAATATCAGAGGCTCATAAAAATGCATTGCTACAGAAACAGACTTTTATCTTACAAATTGCTTTAGGAGTAAAGGAATAGCTCTAAACATTGAAATCCTTTTCAAAAATTCTCTATGGTTTTTGAGATAAATATGTTTAGCACATTTTAACAGAGCAGGAGATGAGCCTGCAATGAGCAAAGAAATGAAGAGATCCTGGCAGAAAGCACCAAGTTTACCATCTAAACAGACTGGCCATACTGTTTATCCTTGGGTTTGTTATTAAAATGCATTGCATTGACTCTGTTCCCTGGTTACTGTCCCAGTAGGGCAGTCATGCTATTAATCAAGATGCTAGTTAAACAATATTGTTCAGCAGAATTCCTTTATCTCAGGTTCATAATGCTGGGTTTACATGCGACGTGTATGCATTACCTCATTTGAAAGCTGTATGAATCAACACTAATGTGATTTTGCTGTTGTTTTTAACTTTTACAGATGCAGATTTACTTCTACAATCCTGATGACTTTGACAGTGTTGGAACAGCGGTTCTAGAAAACAGAGTAGTAGGAGCCATGGCCGTGTTTTTCCAAGTAAGTTTAAACAAGGGCTATATCCATAAACCAAAGCATTCACCAAGTACTATTTAATTCATTGAATTGTTTCAAGCTTAATGGATGCATCTGTTTTCTTGTTCCCACCTGTCTAAGTGAAAGATATTTCATATTGTCTGTGTATGATTTAAAATGTAAATAAGTATATTTAGAAACACAATGAAAAATTTTGCATGAATTGTTCTGATTTTATAGCTACTTTACAGATGCAGATGGGAGAGCACATTTATCATGGAAGTTCCTTCACTGCTGAAGCACATTGCTGGGGTCCCTGGAATACTAACAAACCAACGTGAGCTGGTTCTGTTCAGAGAGAACTTAAAATTCAAACATAGCTTAGGAGAAAATTAATCAATAAGTTTCATCAATCTTATCTGTAGCAGCTTCTTCTAAATTGTCATAGTAACAAGTTCTTGAGCAGACCAGGTTTCCAAGTGAGCGAATTTATGCATCCCTGTTTTTAAGATGCATCCTCAGGAGCGGGACTGCTGGGTTAGCTCATTTGTTGGTTTGACACGCTCGAGAGCTGCGGTGCGGGGTAGAGACGGCTGCTTGCCATGGCTGCGGGTCAAACCACGTGGCACTGGTGTTCAGCAACGTGGGCTTTTTGTCATATTGCACCAGAAATGGAGGTTTTCCTCTGACTCGAGGGTGAATTGAACCGAGTGAGTTGGAGCAACTCCATGCCACCACGCTGGCACAGGCAGAGAGGTGGCTAATGAAGATTTCAGAATACCTCAAGGTGTTGCTTTTTCAAAAGAGAGAGAAGAGCAAGGGAACGTACCTCTGTGAGGTTTCACACTATTTTTTACTGGGGAAGAAAATGATCTTACAGTTATCTTTGTGAAGCCAGATAAAAAAGAATTTGCAAGTACCCATATGTAAATATCTCCCTTTTCCTTATGATGTTAGAGTGACAAGCCTGGCTCTGCTGCTCAAATTAACTAGGGTTGTGTTTTTCCATGTCACTGATTTTGATCAAATGCTTTGATAAGGAGAAAAGGACGGATCCTTGTATTGCATAAATTGCTGTAACTCTGCTGACATCAGGCTAGTGGAAGTAGGCATGTTAAATTCATCACTGTTGAATTCTGAGCACTTCTGCGGCGTTTTATGTTAGGGTAAAGTTGGTGGAGCTGCGATAATTTACAGTGGCATAGCAGGATGATTCCCCAGACTTCTTAATCTTGATGTGCTGTGGGAAGCATTGGACAAATTGAATTTGGCCTTACAAGGCAGAAGTTTAGAAACAGAACAACCGAAGGCACTGTTACTTGATTTATGCCGCAGCGAAGAGCTGCACATTATGCGCGTGTGCTGCGTCAGGAGCACGCGTTATGCCATGGTGTGCAATACGTGTTGTGTCATCATCTGTCTGGAATTAAATTGCTAAATTACCCTGATGTGCTTCACATGGTTTATGTGAAGCACTGCCCCATGTTGCACCATTTCCTAGTCTGTATGTGACATTTATTCTATACAACCCTGTTTTTAGGGGATCTTAAAATTGTAGTGGGACTGTGTTTTGTACTCCCCACCTGCAAAGCCAGGTGCTGCACTTACCACGAGTCCCACTTTGCACGATTCCAAGGGAGCCATTAAACTCACTAAAAATGACCCAAAATAGTCTGTAATGTTGTTTAAAAAAAAAATCATCTTTGATTGTAAGAGACCTCAGGCTCTTTAAGACCACAACTGAGTGTTGTGGTCCCCTCAGGGAAGCAGAAATCTATACTTTTCATCATTTCTAGCCCTGCAGGCCACAGGACATTAGGCTGTAAAGTCTGGATGATGGTGCAGCTGGGCTTCTCTGCTCCAGGAGTCATGAAATGTGAAGCCATTACTGATAAAGAGCCTCTGATCTCTTCCAGAGATGGGGCTAAGGTAATTCTTTGGCAAAATGACCCAGGGGCAACCTGTTTTGTGGCTGCAAGTGAATGGTTTTCTCTTTTTTGGGGTATTTTTTCCTCGCCTTTGGGTTGAAATGATAAATCAGTGGCATGCCACGGAACTTCAAAGTGTACCAGGTCTTCCCTCTGGATAGTTGTGCTCCCAAATGGAAAGCTGCTGAGGGAGATCTGTAGAGCCCAAGGACCGCTTTCTGCAAGGGCAAATGCTGAATTCTGGCCTGTGTAGGTAAACTTGAAGGACTTCAGTGTGGCAACTGCCATTTTGGTCATCATGAGAGTTTTCCAGCGCTTGTCTCATAGAACTTGAGGTTTTGTGCATAGGGTTATTAATTGATGGTGCTGATCCTTTGCAGATCCATACTGTGTTTGACCAAGGGGCTGTTTTATCCCTCAGCTGTGTATCAAGTGCTGGAGCTGGTGAACCACAACTTGGAAACACCTTCACAGCCAGTTTTGTTCAGAAATACTTGATGTTCCTTCAGCCTTATTCCCCAGGGCACCATGTGGATAAGCTTACCATGGCTGGGATTTCGTGCAACTAATTGAAAATCTGTCTTCTAAAACTGATTCTTAGTAACTTTTGAATGAAATGTCCCTTAGATGTCCATGGCCACATTTTGATTGGCAGCTTTGACTATTCAAGTACTAATTTTGTACTTTGCAATTTTCCAGGGCCATGGTCCCTTCTCTAACTCATTTATGTAGAACACAGCTTTAAAAAACTGTAGCAATAGAGGTCATGCTGCTTTTTACAAATACATTAGAAAACTGAATCGTGCGTGCTTTTCTATGTAAATATTTTAACAGAGAAATTATTGGATAGGTTCGCCATTAAGTTAAGACTTGGATTTTTGCTAATGCGTTAATGCTGTGTTGGAATGAATGTGTACTGCACTGACTGAATTTATAGTCTGGCAGGTGTTTTTTGTTTGACTGATGTTCACAAATGTTCCTTTGGAAATCAGGTTCTCCAGTGAGTGAATGTTATACTGAACTATATAATTATTGGTGAAACATTAAATAATTAAGAAGCCTCTTTCCTCCTGTTTAAATAATTTAACTTGCGCTACGTAAGGATTTTCTTTATTGAATTCGCTGTTTCGGGGGCAATTTCCAGGTAAAGTACATTGGTTCTGAACTTGGATAATTGAAGCACTTGTAATTGCTAATTAAATCTATGCTTTTCGCATTGTTTTAGTTGTAAACTCTGCTAGTAAAATCTATTTCAGTTTGCATGCTGCAGGTCAGTTGACCTGGCAAAAAAAAATTGCTAGTTAAAATCAGGAAACAATTATTGCCTATATAAACTGGCATAAGTGCTCATCTCTGGATTTCATTGTGGATAGACACTCAGAGGATCTCACATAAAATAGCACTGTGGGGACTCTATAGCAGGTAGTCTCAATTTGCAGTTGAGATGATCTGGCCTGAAATCTCCTGACTGGGCTCTGAAAGCTGATTTTTGCACTGGAGTACAAGCTGTAATGTTGAGGAAAAGGGTCCCATGGTACTTGGTCCCTTTTCTGAGCGTAGCATCACTTCAAGCATCGTGCTGTGGACTATTGTACGTACACGGGAATGCAGCAAATAACAAAATGATGGGTAATCTGGCCCTGCTGAAAATTCTTGCAGTCTTCTTTTGTGTAGCTGTGTATATGGGGCAGAATGAGGTACCTCAGTGTGCAAAATCCTAAAAGCACACAGACAAAACCTTGTACCATGTCGTGGTGTTTCCTTCAAGATCCCTTCTCGTCCTTACTGAGGCCACAGTGAGTGTGATAGAGGAGGAAAGCGACTTAGGAACCTCTCATCTTTTTACTTCAAATTATTTTAAAAGCTATTCAGCTGGAAAAAGCTGGAAAAGAGCGAAGGGAACTTCAGCCTGCTGGTGTCAGGTATAATAGTAAAGTCCATAACCATGCCTCACTGAGGGGGGAGGAATCAGCAGGGAAAACGGCTTTGCTCTTGAAGTGAGGGTCCCTGTGGTAAAAGTCAGTGTGTTTCAAGAAGGAGAGGGGATCAGAGTATTAGCAATGTGAATCTAAAGGTTCTTGGGTTGGTTTTTGTTGTTGTGAAAGAGACCTCACTTATTTTAGCAAAAATCCAATTCTTCTGGAGACAAGTGAGGTAAAGCCCATGGTTTCTCTTTGGTTCCTGTCAGGCCCTGTCTGTGGGGTCTCACTGGTTTCAGGACCTCTCAAGAGTTGCCTATGGCTGCATGTTGAGACCCACCAATCTGCTGAACACGCGGCACGTCCCATCCAGCCGGGCACTGCAGTCTTGATTTAAATGATGCTAACTTGCGTAATTGCTGCACGTGCTTAATTTCAGCATAAGGTTCAACTTGTACTTAATGATATTCTGGCTTCAGGCCTTGGTTAATTGTGAAGCCAAGCTGGTTTTGAAGCGAGCCAGGAGTGGAAGGGAAGGTCCAGATCTCTCACTGGTCCCTGAGTCATCCATTCATATATATACATGTAATCCATATTTACAAGTCACATTTAAAATGAGTAGTTACTTGGATTAAATGCATTCAGACATATTGCACGGCTCTGTTTTAACCATCTAACAATATAATTCATTGCACACTTCACTAGTTGCTTTATTAAAGCCAAACTTAAATGTGTTCAAAACAAACATATTGCTTTTGCATTTGAAATATTCATCTTTTGGGCCCGCGGTAGATTCATTACGGCAGAGAATACTTCATTCCTTGATTACTGCTGTGAAAAGACACAATACTGATTCCCTAAGCGCTCATCAAATATTCGATCGCTCCGAAATTCAGGAGGAGGTGATGGAATTCTTGTTCCTGCAGGGAGGGCATATAAATCTATTTTATTATTTGCAAAGAAAATCATCGGTGATTAGTTACCGTATCTCAGGTACTCAAACAAATCATCTCTAAAGAAGTTAAAGTAAAAATGAATTTTAAAATAACTTTTAGCAATGCTTTCATCATTAAAATTATCTTCGTAATGATGAGTGATGTTGATACCTCGATCACTCAAGAGCTTTAGAAGTGCAGGGCTAGATTTCTAAAGGTAATTAGGTACTTGGCAGCAAATA